GGGAAATAAGTTCTGCTTCATTTTGGATAGTCCAGAAAGCTTTTTTCTGGAAGAGGCTTTGATCCTGCTGGGAAGGGTGGTTGGCAAGACCAGCTGGTGCGAGATGAAGGCTACTCTCGCCCAAATAACTTGTTTTTTCCCGGCTGTTGGAATGATGCCAGCCCATCCTTCGCTCCTCTGAGACGCGGCTCATCCCGCCGCAGGCACTGGCTGTGGGCAAGTTTGCCGGGAGGGTGTGGGGAGCCTGGGACAGCAGTGAGTTCTCCCTGCCTGGATCACAGGAGTGCCATCCCAGATGGATGTGCTGCTCGGCACGGGGATGCTGGTGCATTCTAATTGCTGGCATCTTTACTTGTTACGAGTGTAATTGTGAGTAGACGTTTGTTTTTGTATTGATAATTAGGGACTGGAACAGATGGCGAAGGCTTAGTTTAAAGTAATGTGTCCATTAAAGAAAATCTACTGTATACAGCTGAAGATTCTTCACTCTAAGAGAGCTCAGCTCTCGGTAGCAGAGCTCCTCTTCTCCCTAATGAGGGCTTTGGCCATTACAGCCTGGGCAGCGGAGCCACAGATCCCACACACTTCTCCCAGCGAGTGCCTTGAGCTCCCTCCTTGCAGAGCATCCCCATGGCACCTGCTGTGCCCACGTGTGGGTGGGCAGGCGTGGAAGGAGTTGCTGGAGAGCCTTGAGCAGGTGAGGGGATGGCAGTGACTTGGGCATGGAGCCTGCCCGGTGGGACTGGCTGATCCAGGTGGGCAGGCAGCATGTGGATCACCTGGCATGGCTAACAATGCCGGGGCACGGGGAGATGATGTACCCCTGCACTGTGGGGATTTAATTAATTTCCAGTGCCAAATAATGAGGACTGGTCCTCATGGAAGGACGAGGCAGGTGAGAGGAGAGATGCCAGGTGTCCATGTGGCTTCTCCGCTCATTAAGGGTGCTCAGGCACTGATCTGCACTAGTCCCCTCGTTTGCAGGCAGAGCAAAGGATTTCCCTGCCTGCCCCTCCTTTGCCTGCTCCCAAGTGGTGGATGGTTCGGGGGGTTGGATCCCTGTGTCCCCACACCTGTAGGGATATTTTGCAGATGTGAGTGCTGGCGTTCCCGTTTTGTCCCCCATTTCTCTGTGAGGACTTGGGATCTGCAAACCCTCCCCTGCTGAAGGAGGATGCTCAGCAGCCTTAGCCCTGAGAAGCCTGTCCATAAATGTCCCACTGAGGTCATGGTGTCACTTTTACATCCCAGAAAATGAAGGTTTCCTCCAAGAGGAAATAGGAGAGGTCAATGGGAAGTTGCTGAGCTGAGTCCTTCTGGTGCCAGTACCTCTGCAGTCACAGGGTTG